GTCAAAGCAGTTATCATATCAGCTGTCATCCGACACGTTTTCAGTTCCTAGGAGGATGTCTACTCGAGCATCTACTCAAGACAGCGGATCAGTATCTATTTCACTTCCTTCCACAATAACGACAATTGAAAATCCCAATGAAGCTTTCGCTAATCAATTTTTCAGTGTGTATAAAAAAGAAAATTTTGACTTGAACAATACTCCCTTTGATGTTTCTGAAAAAATCAATCAAAATATTGATTTGAATTACACAATTGATTGTAACAGCGAAAATTTTTGGATGGAATTTGAGGTACCATTCTCCAAATTGAATCTTCAAGAAATTCAAGAGATGTCAAATGGAGTAAAAAATGCTAGAACCAGAAGAAAACTCATATGCTTGATTGTAGACGAGATGAGGTGTTTCAAAACAGTAATACCTACTAAGGCATTCAGATATGTTGCAAAAAAAATAGTCGACAAATATCCTGCTACTTTTAAGGATTGCGATGAGGATGGTGTAGTTTTGAGCGATGGAACATATTCCTTAGTGTTGTGTAGGAGCACAATAATTATTTGAATCGGCCTCATAAACGAACCAGATCAGTTGATAATAACCCCATCGTCAAGAAAAAAAGACTGGTATCGGCACGATCTGGATGTGTAGACTTCTCTTCAACGGAGAATTCATCACAGAAGTCAGTAGATGAATTGAAACAATTATTCGAAACATCCGACAACAATGAAAACATCATGACCGAATCTTATTCGGAAATAAGGAAATTCTTGAATAGAGATCCATTTCCTACCAGAGAAGAAGTTAAGGAAGAATGGCCCATAGTGTTTTCTAGGAAGGCAATATTCGTACATCTCAATAAACTCACAGACTCCGAAATCGGAGTACTCAGCAAAATGTATGAAAAAGCGGAGAAGATAAAGAAATGCTCTAAATCCAATGTGGATGATATTGGAGGCAAACTTGGTCTTGTAAAGATGATAACGGATCATTTCAGAGAAGATTTTGGAAAGCTGGTTGTAGTAGTGAAGGTAGGTTCTTATATATAAATATACCTACTCAATATACAGATTCAAGTTTTCATTTCATTCTTATTCCTCTTTATTTTGTGTTCTTGTCACCGTCCATGGGCGACATGATCTCTGAAGACGAGTGTACAGGATCTTCACATTTTCAACCCCTTCTTGAATTTTGCATTAGAAATTCAATTGTTTTTTCGAAGAAGTCAACTTCGATAATTATTTTTCTGTAGTTTTCTAATTGTGGCCACAATGTTTTTTGAATCACATCAATCATTTTGTTCTGAATCTGTTTCAGAAATTTCTAACGACGATCATTTTTCCACATAGGACCTTACTGAGGGAAATCTCGAGAGCATTCCTTCTAAACCTTGTATAGCTAGAGTTGGTGAGTTATCTTTTATATTTCATAACGAAATGAAAGGTTTGAGGAAAGGATCCTCCTAAAATAAACAGAAAATAATGATTCTCGCCCGTTCGAAAATCATTCAAAGTATAGATTTTTGAATTTTTCAACTTCATCATGTAGAAAAAAATCAATGATTTCTAAATGTCTTCTTCATATTCCGAATTTCATTAAAAATTGGTCAGAAAAATGTACTTGAACATTACCAATTTGGCGAATCAAATGAAAAAAATGTTGTTCATCCAAATGACATTAAAAGTGGCTTTTTGATTACACTTGACAGGCATAGAAGGTGAACTTTCACTGCCTAGGCAGAAGAAGTTAGTTGCTATGCAATGTTCCAAGTAATAATTTGAATCAAATTGGTGATCAAAATAACATTGGGTGAACCCAAAATGATGGATTATCTGTAATTTGCGTGAAATTGAAATGAATTTGGTGAAAGAATTATATGTTTCACAGGGCAGAAAAGAAGATTCAATGCCTTGGCTAGTTTCCTAGCCTCGGCTATGAAGCGCCAGCCGCGTCATTGAATCTTGTGCTCGTGCTGTTTGCAACCATGCCCGAAATGAATATAATGAATCTCTTACAGTTTCAGAGATCCCAATGGTGAGGATCGAATTTGAAACACTCAGTACCCGGTATACATTTATGATAATGAAACTATTCTAGATTTTTTTTTAGATCCCAATGACACCGAAGAAGGACACTCTCATCAACATTTTATTTTCGTCGACAAAATATGCGTCGACAGGGAAGGTAATAAAAGTTTTTTGGCTGCGTTGCAAGTCCTTTTCTCACTTTATTTCATTTTAAATATCAAATATCCAGGAGATATAGAATTTACATAAGAATTTATTCAGATATATTTTCTGAAGATACACCCCGACCAGTGTAGTAAGTCAAAAAAAGTAGCACTATCCAGAAAAAGAGTATTTTGCTTCATGAATAAGTTGTCCGGACAATAATTGAATAATTATATCACCAGCAATGATTAATGATTCCTTTTTAAGAATGTTATTTATGTTTATGATTTTTTATTTTATCACGAATGTTGTTATGTTTTTTTTTCCACTTTATAATGTAATATCTATAGATAAGCATTATTTGTATTATCATAATTCTTTGAAACTGATTTTTCACATATCTAAATGTTTTATTCACTTACAGTCTTTTCAAACATGCATGATTTTATCATTGAAATGAAAGTCAAATCTTCATTACCTGTATATTTACAGTCGAAATATCCTCTGTGAAAGAACATAGGAAAATTCATCAAGAAAAATATACTATTATATTTTTACAGAACGATATTAAGATTGCAAAAATACATAATATAATCATGAAAATTACATTGTAAAAGTATCACAGAATGATATTCACATTGCGAAAAGACATAATATATTCATGAAAATTACATTGTGAAAGTATCACAGAATGATATTCACATTGCGAAAATACATGATATAATCATGACAATTACATTGTGAAAGTATTGCAGAAGGATATTCACATTGCAAAAATACATAATATAATCATGAAAATTACATTGTGAACGTAAGGTATGCGAACTGGAATTAAAATACAGTATTGGTACCGGAAACGCATTTCACAGAACTGATGGTGAAATTCAGGTGAATAACGTTGGTTATAAAATAACGAACGTTATTTACCTGAATTTTAGAAGACTGTTTTTTTCAGTGTGATCTAATTTTTCTCTACAATAAGCTTCCGTTATATTTACGTGTTTGATCAGCGGCGTTTATGTATGCAAGTATAGCGACAGTTGAGAGAAACACTCACCTGAATTTCTGTCGTTCCGATGAGTCCTTTTCCAACTTGCAGTTCAGCGGTACATGCGCGCATTAGCACTGCACGTAATGCATTATTACATTGGGTATCACAGAAGCGGTTTAAAGCTGTTCCACACCGTCTCATGACAACTGAATTCCGCCAGATGGCGATTGTATAGACAATATGAATAATCACATTTTGAAGTGTTAAGGCGCGTATTCACCTGAGCACGAACGGGAACGAGGCAAAGTGAGGCCGAACGAATGCCTCGTTCGTATTTTTGTTGATGGCGAAACGAAGCATCCGAGGCAACGAACGAGGCAGCGATCCACCCCGTGCGGCGCGGCATGCGAATTTCATAATCATCAGCAGTTGGGAAAAGTGTTGTTAAAAGAGTGTAAACCGATATGGCCGACGCAAAAGATTTGACAGTGGCCAGTGCTGCTTGTATAGTTATTGCTGGGCTATTACGAAAAAAAAGAAGGAAGAAACGTTGGTGGATGACATCCTTGTATCAAAATAGGGTGACATGTAGAGGACAGTCATTGTTAAACAGAATGGTGGAAGAGGAAGAAAATGGGCATTTTCGAAACTTTACCAGAATGTGTCCCACTGATTTCAACTTTTTATTAGAATCGATTCGTTCTGATATTTCTCGACAAGATACGAAATTTCGCAAAGCTGTGACCGCGGAGGAACGATTAGCTATAACTCTCAGATATTTAGCAACTGGTGATTCGTACACTAGCCTTCAGTACCTCTTCAATGTATCAAAGCAGCTAATATCGAAAATAATACCAGAAGTATGCAAGGCTTTGGTGAAGATCTTATCTAAATATGTTAAGGTATGTATTTTTCCCAAGCGTCAACTAGGTACTCATAAAAAATGTTATACACCAAATCATAAGAAAATCATAAAAAAACAACATTACACCCTGTATCTTACAAACTAAGAGCCGTATTCAACATCCCCTTCTAACTTTAAAAGCGCCTTTTAAAATCTGTCTGTCCAATGTCAACTTCAAAAGATAAAAAGTGACAAATGTTAAAAGCATTTTTATTAGAGTTAAAAATGGGACGTTGAATACGGTTCTAAGCATTTCTGGATCTATGTTATGAACTTTTTTTCTTCCTTTGGGATGTCGTTCAGTCGAGCGTTGTGACATATTTTTTACAACACCCTGTAGTTCAGGCAAACTTATATTGAAAAACAACAGAAATGCAATGACAAAAAAGTTTATTTTATTTTAAACATTATCATCTTTTGGAAATGTCAAATATTCTGCCAAGACAGAGAAGCCTGAGTTGTCCGCAGGTTGGCGACTTTCTGGATGATCTTGAGGTGATGGAAGGGGCGAAGCGGTGTAAGATGTTGATGGAGAGGATGTAACATAATAAGTTGAATTAGATACGGCAGAATCACATCGAGAAGATACATAAGATGAAGGTGTCGCATTTTGTAGCGGAGTTAGCTCTTCAGGTTGTGTTGCGAACACTGCGGACTTATTTATTGGTATTTGCAGTGGAGTAGGTTGCGAATGGAGTTGCGAAAGCATTTGCTGTGGCATTGAAACTGGATGCATGTTCATTTCAGCACGAAAGAAAATACTATGAATTTCGTGCTGTAGCATTGTACGGGTTCTTTTATCAAACTGTCGCAGTTTTTCCGCTATGTATTTGGCAAAAAGTGAGCTCTCATCATTTTCATTATAACTGGATTTTACTGTTTTTTGTAAAATATTAAAAGCTTCTTGTATTCGAGGATCCTCAGAGTTCTTTCTTTTTGTTACAACACGCTTGGGAGATATAAACTTTTTTCTTTTGGGTTGATTATTTTTTTACTCAAAGCAATATTTCTTTCGACTTGGTCATCCTTAGTACTATTATCAGAATTCCTTTGCACGTCGTCTTCTGTTGATTCTGCCGTGTGTTCATTTTCTAAAACTTGTGAGTGGTCGGAATGCTCTGCATCCTCTGTAGACTCTTCTGCAGCAGTATGTTCTTCTGGATAATTCTAAAATAAAAATATTTTGTTTTAGACACCTTCAACAGTGGAAGAATGGAGAGAAATATCACAAACATTTGAAGAAAATTGGAATTTTCCTCACTGTTTGGGTGCTCTTGATGGGAAGCATATTGTGTTGCAAGCACCAATGAATAGTGGAAGCTCCTACTACAACTACAAGTCAAGCTTCAGTATTGTATTAATGGCTATCGTTGATGCTGACTACAAGTTTTTGTATGTGAACATTGGCTGCCAAGGAGGAGTTTCTGATGGTGGTGTTTTTAAGAACTGTCAGTTGTATAAAGACTTGGAAAGGAATAGGTTGAATTTCCCTCCGCCCTCAAATTTACCAGGCAGAAACGAACATGTACCGTTTGTTTTTGTAGCGGACGAAGCATTCGCCTTATCCGAAAATATCATGAAACCATACTCAGGGTTGCACCCAAAAGGATCTCGAGAACGTATTTTTAACTATCGACTGAGTAGAGCCCGCCGAGTTGTAGAAAATGCTTTCGGTATTATTTCTGCTGTATTTAGAGTTTTAAGAAAACCAATGCTATTGGAACCAGAAAAAGCAGAGCTCATAACAATGACTATAATTTGCTTACACAATTTTCTCAGAAAAAGCCACTTATCAAAAAATCTGTATACACCTGAAGGGACATTCGACAAGGAAGTACATGGGCAAGTCAGTCCTGGTTCTTGGAGGACTAACGGTCAATCTTTAACTCCCTTACGGAATGTACCGCGCAAATCATCGATTGCCATCAACAATATTCGAGCGGAATTTTCCGAATATTTTTCCTCTAATGGTTCTGTTTCTTGGCAAAATGATTATGCCTAATATATTTTTTTGCAGTTTTTTTTGAAACATTAATAGGGTTGAAAAGTATATCGATTTGGAGTAAAATGAAGATATTTTCCTAACTACGGTACAAAACTACAGGGGGTGATTCGTTAGGTCGTTTTAAGACAAAAAGTTCCTATGAACATATGTCCAAAGATGCTTCGTTTCTGAGATACAGGGCGTGTAAACAAAAAAATTCAACACCCTGTCACTCAGAAAAGAAGCAACTCCGGACATATGTTCATAGGAACTTTTTTTCTTGAAACGACGTAACGAATCACCCCCTGTAGTTTCGTACCGTAGTTAGGAAACACGAGGGAAACAAACAAAAATATCAATTTTCGATATGTTATCCCCAGGAGCCACTCGTAAAAATATCTTCATTTTACTCCAAATCGATATACTTTTCAACCCTATTCGAGGCTTGTATGCGAAAATGGGGCACCTAAATCTGTCACTGGCTGACGGTCTATAACTAATTTAGGAGATTATGTAGGTTTGTACAATTATAATACATCTATGCACTGTACAGATTGAAGAAAGGATACAACTACAATTATAGTTTTCTTGCAAATTAAAATGCAATTATATAACAAAATCCACTTCTGTATGCCCAAAACAATAAAATATCCCCTAGATCACTAATAATTGCTGTAAGTATAAAAATATATAGCAAAAGAGTTTTGAGGTTATACTGTATATTTGAAAAATTTCATGTTTAATTTTCATGTCAAATTTAATTCTTTATGTTGAAAAGGGAAATAGAGACTAACGTTTGTCTTTCAGCCGCAGATGAATCCAGAACAGATTTTATGGATATTCTATTCATATTTTCGAACAAAAATCTTAATTCTTTATATTTGCTATGTTCTTGAGACAACAGTAAAGAACAGAGTGCGTTGAAGCTATCACTAGTCATAGGCCCTAATAACTAGTAAGCAGGTAGGTACTTACTGATATTGTATTCCGAAGCTCCTCTGGATCCTCCAGAAACTTTAAAACTATCCCAAGCAAACCACTTAGAAACGTAAACGTCTTTGCGGCCTGAAATCATAGTATTTAGGTGCAAACCAGATGTTGCTTTATTTTTCTACACTAATTTACCTGTACCAGTCCTCATACTGGTTAGCATACGGGTCTTTTCCCTGCGCCGCGAACCTCTCAGACTCTCAATTTTCTTTTTCAGCACTGCAATGTCCTCTTCAAATATGGATGCGATTTCTCGCCAGGCATCCTCTTTTTTGACGATATTATAATACAATTTATCATTTTTTCTCCATAAAATAGGCCGCCTTTCATACTCTTTTATGAAACTTAACGTTTTTTCATTATCCCAGCTCATTTTTTATCAACATGTACACTGTACAATACGACTGGACAGACTAGGTAGGTACAATTAATAAATAAAAATAATACACCAATTCTGTTGCGAGGCGAGGCGAGGCAACTGAAGGCACCAATGCCGTCCACATATATTCAAATTTTTCTTTGAAGTACCGACACCGATCGGATGGCATTCGAACTGCTTCGGACCGCGCACCGCACCGTTTTCCGCGCCTCGTTGTGACGTACACACTACGCACGCTCGTTCGGCCTCACTTTGCCTCGTTCCCGTTCGTGCTCAGGTGAATACGCGCCTTTAAGCTCCTATCATACCTTCCTACAATCGGCAACAGCGATACAACTGACCCTCCGAAGAGGTGATGTCAGGTATAGAAACTGATTTGCATAATCAGAGCGATAATTTCTAAAATTATTATTTATTCTAGTCTGCAAAACCAGATACTTTGGCTAAGCCTGAGAACTTTTATAATATCGATTCAGGTATACAAGGTTTTTTCCAGAAAAAATAGTCTCATTCATTGGCATTTCATATTATTTTTATTCAATTAATAAAAATGTTATAATATGGGTATTAGTAAATAATTATTATGTATGTACATTCTGATATTTCCATTCCGTTTCTCGTTGAGTAATTTTCATTTCTCTTGGTACCCTGGCATCAATGATCTCTGGAAGAATACATTCTCTGTAGAATTTTGTCAATTTTGGGGTCTTTCATTCCATATAATATTCTCATTTCTGTAAATCCTCTCTACATTGAAATCATTTTCGCAGTAGATTATGAAATCACAAAAATCCCTTTTGGTGATGATCAGTTGGCCTTGGATTTGGTAATAATAATTGTGTGTTTTCTTCAATCTTAGAAAAAAAGAGGGAATAATAAATATTTTCCTAATACGAAAATCAACGTTTTTTCTGAGTTCAACGAGTCATCACAAGTAGATATTATATTTTTATACGAAAAATAACAAACCTTATGCAATTATTATCAGCACGAGTAAAACAGTTGGTAGATTTTTTGGACTCAACCAATTTTCCATCTATAGAAGGTAGGCACTTTACTCCAATGATGCCATCATCTCCAACCAAACCATCAGGAGATGCACCTAAAAATGGAAATGTAGCATCAACAAAAAGTCCACATGCAGTTACTTCCACATTCTTCGTTTCTTCATATTTGCTGACTGCTTTTTGTTCATTTAAAATGATCGCTGGCGACTGCAAATCTTTTTTTTGGTAGAGTAGCTGTTTCACTAAATTATGGCAAGGTGTAGTTGGTCTTCTCTTGACAACTTTACCAAAATTTGATGCGGTCAAGTAATCCATCCGCAACTCTCTCCATTAATTATTATCGTGTTGCCCCCGTGTGGATATTTCGATAGTTTCAATTTTTTGCGAAGATGGAACTCTTTCTGCTAATTTATTCGAGAATTTCTCCTTCCTCTCTGCCATATTATCCGAACTGATAACTGGTGATGCAGCTTGTGGTCCATAATGAATATCAGTACCGGAATTGCATTTTTTTTGTTTTCATAAATATAGCCCCGACTTTTCCTCAGTTCATGCTTCTAGTGCCTTCTATTGAAGATTTGATCAGTGAATCTTCCACAGGGTCCATTTCTCAATGCCTTTAGATGCCAACTTGGCCCGTTTGTGTGAGAAAGGGCTGCAGCATAAGAACGAGCGGTGTAGGAGGAACTTTTGGTGAAGTTGACTCGTTTACCCCCTGTACATTTGGCCACCAGAGACATATACCTGCATGTGAATGATATATAAAAACAACGAAGATTCCAACGAAATTTCAGAAGTTACCTTCCAGCTTGATTTGTGGTTTGATTATATGATAACCTGTCTGCCATGTTTATCATTGGTTCGATGATTTTCTTTATTTCTATGGAGAATTTTTGGTCCAGCTGTAGTGTAAGTGAACTGTTGAAGAAACGTATTTATCAGAAATGTTGCACCACTCTTGAGAAGTTTATATTATAGGATATGTAATTTATTAGATCGTATACCTGCAATTCTCATGGCGTCCAAAGATATGATACGGCGCATTCCTCAATTCCTGACGTAGCGAATTTGGTTGATTCAGATTAGTTTTGACAGCAGTCCTTACACCCTTTACCAATCTCTCTAATCTAGATATACCTTCAGTATCCTTAGATGTCAGTAATTTTCTTGCAGCTAAAGGGTATACTGTGTTCGTGGAAATTTTATGCAGTTTATCACTGACACAACGTGTCATATGGTTGGCACACTCAATTTTTATTACCTGACGCCCATATGCAACTCTCTCCACAATACGGGCATAAACACTAGAATCTCCGTCTCCTAAAACAAACATGACAAATTAATAAAAAATCAGAATAAAATGTTGTCAATGTCACTCACCAATCATGTATTTAAAAATAACACCGTGTTGTTCTATACTTTTTGAGAAACCTTCTACTATAATATCCTGTTCCATTGCAGTGGAAGGTCCATTGAAATTCAGAGCGCATTCGTGTTTTTTTCGCGGAAGTTCATGTTTTTTATAATAGGAACATAGAGAACAAACTTTGTTGCGGATTCCTAGAAATAATGGTTTCTTCGTTTCGGCACCAATGATGATCCCCTAAAATGATGATAATAATACTTTATTAATGAGGAACTGATAGAGTATAGATACATATATTTATCATATTTTGATTAACTTACAACACCAGATGAGGCATTATAGCCGTGTCCATAGGTTCTTCTACTCCAGCCTCCATCTACGATTACTGTTATGAATGGAGTTCCATCAGCAGTCGTGTTTTCATTTTCAATTGCGATAGACCTTTCTCTCTTCCATTATTTTCCATTTCCTTTTGTAAGTTTTCTTCCCAGACCTACAATAATGTATTCATTATTCAAGGACCCTATACGATTAATGAGATTTGTAATCACCCAAATCAGGTAAGTCACACATACCTTCTTTACAGATACCATTTTTTTGGCAAACGTTTTCTGATGCATGAATGGAATGTTCATAACTCCGAATAATTCTTCACATTGACTATGTCCTATACCAATGGACAAACTCGCCCAAACAACCGAATCATTCAATTTTCCATTTGGCGATTCACTCGTACAAATGATGAAGGTTTTATCGCAGTTGTCACATTCAGAGTGAAGCTTGAAAACGATGCCAATTCTAGTTTCTTTTTTGAAATCCATTCTGCCCATTGTACAGCGTTGGGGATGTTGAACTACATTTTCATATTGTTTCAAAACATACGCCAAATCAACTATTCTTTTTCCTTGTAGCAAGTCTGTCAGAGGTTTACTTAGGGGATCAGACTCAATTTCCAACGGAGGAAGGCTATCTTCATCAATAACATCCAAATGCCTAAAATAGCAGATAGATAGTTTTCGTGATCAAACTTCACTATTTTATATCATATATACAGTAGGTATGTCTGAAAAAAGTTGTCAACAGATGGAAAACTTTTTAAATACATTTGTATTGATATGTAAATGTAATGATCAGATATTTGAAGGTATAGTTTTTATGCTTCGCAGACCTTTTTATGAAGAAATAGTTTTCTTGCTTAAATTAATAATGATAAAGTTTTCCATTTGTTGCTAACTTTTCCAGACATACTATAGGCCAGTCATTGGGGATTTTTACCTGGAAAAAAGTCCGGAAGTCTTGAAACTTTGTAGGATTATAGTTTTGGGTGTCCAGAACTGAAATTCACAAAATGCACATTCCGGGACATGCCGCCGGCGCCGCCATCTTGCTAAGATGGCGCTCAAAAACGGTTTTTTGAAAATATCTCCAAAACGGTGCGTTTTTAGAAAAAATATGAGGACATAAAAATTTAAGATGAAGAAATTTTCTACAAGAAATGTTCCCAGTATATTTTTGCTGAAGTGAGCGGTTTAGGCCCAAGAGCTGATTGAATGACATCATATTCTGTTAATTTCAATAAACTGCCCCTAACTATCTCCAAATATGCGTATAAATTTATCTTTCATAATGGAACGGGCTATCTAATTGGTTTCTCGTTATATTTATAGCTTGCTGACAGGATATTTCCTATAAAATATGTTCCTAGAATATTCTCGCTAAAGTACCCTCGTTAAGGCACAAGTGCCCTTACCAAATTACAAATGTTGCGTAAGTTTTCCGTAGTGGCGAGTTTCGGAAATAATTAGGGGTCCCCAAATCTGAATAATCTGATATTTAACGACATAAAAATATTTATCACGAAACGGTGGATATCCATTATTCAATTAATCGATGAATTCATCAATTAATCCATGTTAATAATTTATGATCAATCAATTTCGATTTTGAATGCTGTACTTTTTCCACACCACCCAAGAGGCTAAGTACACGGCGTGTTTTTTTTTTTTGAAGTGGTTTCCCCTGTAGTCCTAATCCACTCAGGTACTGAAATTATTTTTGGGAAAGGCCAGACGGACCTGGCTCGTTGATTTCGATATATTCAACGGGGAAACTGGTTACCTCAGCTCCAGAATCGATGTTAATTTCCTTCAACTCGTCGGATTCTTCTTCTGCAGTCGATAAAGAATCATCATGCAGCGAATGGAGGTCTTCTTCATCGGATTCGTCCAGTGTCACTTGGCTGATATTTTCACAAGTTTTCCCGTTGCAGACATCGCAAATCATCGAACATAGCAATCCTGCTTTCCTGCATCCGCAGGCTCTACCACAAGCCGCCTTGCACTTACAAGATAAAAAAGCAAGTAGTGCTTTGGAAGCAGGATCTTTCAAAGTAGTTATTGGAGTGAGGCCAGTTTGTGTTTTCTTCCAACCCCATTCTTCAACTACTTCCGGACAACCACGCCATAGTTGAACCTGATAGTACGTTCTCAACGAATGCTGTCGTGCAGCTGCGCTTGTCGGTGGTAAAGATGCCAAATTGAATTTACTTTTTGGTATCGACTTCACGAAACACTGGTATCGATATTTATCAAGATTGGTGTAATTTGTGTCTTTGAATCCATAGAGTGCAAGGAAAAATTTCTCACCGGCAAAGGCAACTTGATCAGGGGTGGCATGTTCATTTTTAAAAACTTTAATAAATATGATCTTGTAACTCTTTATGTTTTTCTTATGTTGTTAGAAACTTCATTTTTCCTTGGTTAAATACGGTCTCGCAATTTTTTCATGTCCGTTTTTCCCGTAAAATTACTGATTGGCAAAAAAGGTAATTTAGTTGATGAAAAAGTTCTTGTGTTTTTACCGTTTATAAAAATATCTCATCTGAAATATTTATTTTGTGTATTTACTCATATTGGGATGGAGTGGTAAAGACAAGAAAGCAAAATTTCAAATTTCTATGAATTTATGGGCGGTTTTACAGTACGAGAAGGTACCTCTCGGATACATAGTATCGGTACGAAATTTACTCATAACCATCCTGCACCCACATACTTCTGGAGCAAAGTCGCCAGATTCGTCGATAATGCAATTTTTATATCGCCCAAATAATCGCAAGTCACAAATGCAAAATTTTTGTCGCATAATTGATCTAAAAATCGTCCAATATAACGAGGAACAAATTGAATAGCTTGTTGTATCATGAAATATGAATTTATTCGCATATATGGAGATAGTTAGGGGCAGTTTATAGAAATTAACAGAATATGTTGTCATTCAATCAGCTCTTGAGCCTAAACGGCTCTCTTTAGCAGAAATATGCGCGGGACATTTCTTGTAGAAAATTTTTTCATCTTGAATTTTTATGTCCACATATTTTCTCTAAAAACGCACCGGTTTGGAGATATTTTCAAAAAACCGTTTTTGAGCGCCATCTTAGCAAGATGGCGGCGCCGGCGGCATGTCCCGGAATGTGCATTTTGTGAATTTCAGTTGTGGACACCCAAAACTATAATCCTACAAAGTTTCAAAACTTCCGGACTTTTTTCCAGGTAAGCCTTATTTTGGATCCCCAATGACTGAACTACTATAGGTATATGTATAATATTAATAAAAGTATTACACACGCACCGTTTGGAATCATCAGCATCAGCAACAGAATTGTTTTTAGCTTCGACAGCTAACAACGCCCACCTGAAGAAATGTATAATTTAGCAATATTCGTGTAGGGTGTTCCTGAACGGAAGTGACAAAAAGCATAGGGCTCCGATAAAAATATGAAAATCAATAAGTGACAAAAAGCATAGGGCTCCGATAAAAATATGAAAATCAATCACCCCGTACATACCTAGTGAGCCGGAATAATAATAATAATAATATAATACCTCTGCATATTGCTAAATAAATATATTGTGAAACTTACCTCCTTTCGTTGAGTTGTTTCATCAACTTGGATCTGTTAGATCTCTTAAGAACTTTCGATGGTGGAATGTTTTCACCATTCGCCATGATTAAGCAATTACGGAACAAATGGAACAATAAACAATACACACAGCACAAGTTGTCAACAAAGACTGAATAATCTGTGTCAAGTGGTAGTAATCAGAGTAGGTAAAAAGTAAAGTGGGCGGTCATGGGTCATTCTGATAGGAGCGAGGGGGTGGCCTAGCGAGGGGCGGAGATCATAAGCGTAAATCGATTACAAGTCAAAAATCAATTTGAAATGCATAATGCAAAAAAATAATCATTTCGACCCATCGACAAGCCGATAGAAATATGTTAGCATTATCTCATGTGGATAAATGCGAACAAAATCAAAAAAATAAAACAAATTCTTCATTTTCAGAAGCCATTCTACAAGAAACTGAAGGAAAAATTCGAAATATCATTTCCACGATCTATAGTATTCATCAACATCAACAGATAGTCAAAAATTCAAATAATTCTATCGATTCATTTTCATTCTGTGTTCGAATTTGAAATGCATTATTTGGTATAGGCGTTATAAAGGTAGGGAACGACCTTAAATTGCCTTGCCTCTCGCTTGACAATATACACGGTGTTTCTTAAGTACGTCTTAAAAATTGAGCAGCATGTTGCTGAAGTCAAATTAAGAAGAAAAGTTCGTATAAACATATTATGTCCGCAAATTATTCGTTTCAGAGTTACATAGTGTCAAAGTTTGATTGTTACTTCGGTTTTTTGTGAATGAATTTCAAAATGATCGTGATATTTGGGTGAGATACCATATTTCACTCGAATATCACGTTTATTCTTGAATTTATTGACAAAAAAAACAGGATAAAGAATCAAAATTCGACACTCTGTATTTCAGAAATGAATAACTTGCGGAGATTGAATTTTTCACACGTACTCAAGAAACACATTGTATATAGAATATCATATTATGCAATAGAATATCAGTGGAATTAATGATGAGTAAAACCCATATGTTCCTAATAAAAATTAAAAATAGGTACCTAAGTATGTATGCAATAATGTGTTATTGTTTCAGCTTTCCCGTGAATCCTGAGCGCAGGCAGAGGTGGATTTCTCTTTTAGATCTGGAGAATCAGCACATCATAAAGTATGCTCAGATTTGCTCAAATCACTTTGATCAGAGCGATATTATGGTTACCGAATTATCTGGTCGAAGACAAATAAGACCAGATGCTGAGCCCCAATTGAACACAACAGTCTTCACTGGGGCTTCATCTTTCAGGTGAAAAAAATATAACACACTAATCTCGAGAACACAATAAAATTGAACACACTGGTACGAAAACTGGCTTTTATCTCTGAAATGGCGTCCTGTTAAAGGAAATATTGAAAGAAAAATTACAAAATTAAAAGTTGATGTTGGTACTTACTCATATTTGGATAATTTTTGTGATTTGGTAATTTGAAGACCTTCTCAATTTTTTTTATTGCTTGATGCGCACGAAAGGGAATCCCTATAATCTTCGTAGAACATCGTGCATACCTAGGCAGGATAGGGAGAGGAATAGGTATGTTTTTAAGGTAGGTACACTCCTGACGCGATTTCAGAAAATGACATTTGATACCGCACTCAAAGCCTTATTTACACGAAACCCAAAATACTAATCAAGGGGTGAAGGACTGTCAAAATTGGGTACCTACACCAAACTTCGATTTCACAGAAAATTCCAAGGAATTCCAAAGAATTCCAGTTGTTTATACACCCGAATTATACCGAAAAATCCAGGATATTCATGGGTATTCCAAAGAAATCAAAGAAATTCCAGTTTGTGAGCCATAATTCCAACACGGTTTACCACTTGATAATTATTTAAGTTTCAAAGCCAGCGTCGACTTTTTATCAGAAATGAAATTTTCTTAGAAACCGGTAGGTAATAAAGAAGTTTCTCGTATAATATTGAATACTTTTTTCGTCACTCTTCATTCATTATTTTTCGTATTTTTTTTAGTTCGGACTCCACCATCAGCAACTTTCCTAAAAAACTTCTTAGGTAAGTAAACAATGTGTATAATTTAATTACTTTCTGTTGATTGTTAAGTTTCAAACTTCATTTATGCTCTTATAATTTTGTTCTAATATCCGTATTTGTGTATAACTTTCAGATCGCTAGATGTTGATTTTGAAAGCCCATTTGAAAATTCAGAATGTTCTGTTCTGCCCTCAGATCTGACCGAAGTCACAGCTGAGCAAAACAATGTGGGCTCCTCAAATTTGTAAGTTTGAAAATACCTATATTATTAGATAAAAATATTAGTTAGTTAACTTGAAATTTTACAGAATCTTGCCTGAAACCAAACATTTCGAACAGAAATCCTCTTCGTCTACAGAAACAACAGAAACTGCTTCAGAAACGGAAATGGTAATTCACCGGTATGTGTTTTTTGATATAATAGTAAGAGGGTGGCGTACCCTCTTTGTAATTGAATATTTCTTTTTATGAGTTAATATTTCTGGTCTCAATTATTGTATAATCTACATGTTTTTTTCTATATCAAATGAAAGAAGCACGCAGTCATCTCCACTTCGTGCTTTTTTTATTTTAATATGAATCCCATCACTCCACTTTGAGGTACAATGAACGTTTGATTTTTCAAATCTATACATGTTAAATTTGAGGAAACTGTTGTGAAAAATCATTGGAAAAACACTTACAATATTATCATATTATGCTCCAATTGATATTTTTTTATTTGCAGGGCAGGATCACCACAGCCCTCTTCTGCTTTTTCAGAAGCTATAGATTCAAAAAGGCAAGATCATCAGAGGATTAGAAAAAGGTGCACATCATAATTATTCCTTCTAGTAGATTTTTGCATACTAAATTTCTTTTCAATTTTAGAAAACGATACATTGGAGATTTCACAAGTAGCGATTTTTCAACTACAGAAAAGAGAAGTAGAAATTTAGCTTTTGTGAAGAGCTGCGACGAAAGACGAAGACGAAAAATACATACCTTACAAATGACTGTAAGAAGATTAAAAATAAGGATAACATCAATGCAGAACTTGATCGACTATTTGAAAGAAAAATCCTTAATAAGTGAATCTTCTGAATCAACTATAAAGGTATATAATATTTTTTTGATAATTAAAATCTTGTTTAAAATATTGAATATCATGAGTAGTTTTCTGTATGTAATAATACCAGGTGTTTTATGTAGTTCTGCTGGCACTGATGAAGCATGAAATTCAAAATATATCTTAATTCATATTGAAATTTGTCCGATTCCCTCTACTTTTTGAGCTGAAAGAGTTTGAAAATAATTATTCAATTGCAATTAATTGATATTTCACTCCAACAACATAGGTAATAACAGTACCTTGATTTATTAATTCAAAAGATTTTCACTATAGCCTACTCCAAATTGGAGTAGATTGCAATCCCGCAGCTCATTCAATCCCGCGGGATTGATATGCGGGATTACTCAATCCCGCGCGGAATCCCGCGGGATCCCGCATCATGTTATAAAATCAAATTACAACTACAGAATATTGTGTGGAAATCAACTTTTATTAAACATTGCCTATACTAATCAACAAAAATAATTTTTTCTCTTTTAACAAAATATAAGTAGGTAATAAGTAATCTGATATCACGAATATTACAATAATATATCAACATATGGTGACAACTTTCGAAAATTCGCTCTCAAGAAGCAAATGGCATTTATCGTATCATCACTAAGCCTGCTTCTGAGTGAACTACAAATATATCCTGAAGCTGAGAATGCTCTCTCGGCTTCAACGCTTGTAGGCTGAATCGTCAGGATATATTCATATGCGAGCGTCAGGTACTCTCCTCTGATACCATCGGACTCGAATATGGTCATTTCTTTCTTTAAAATCTTCTCAAAGTCCTTTTGCTTATCTGGATTTTTCTTGAATGTTTCTTTTCCTTGTTCAAGCTGTTTTTCTAATTCTTCTTTCATCGATAGAGTAGGATCTGTATCAGTAGCAGATGTTCCAGCTATAGGTGTATTTTCGAAGACGTCATCTGCATATGTTTCAGTACTCTCATCTTCTTCAACTACGACTCTCTCTATTATTTTCTTTATTTCTTGCCGTATTGTAACTTTTCTTGGCACGAAGAATGTATAGGTACGATCTGTATTTTTGGCTTCTTCGTCGTATTTTTTTGGATTTTGCAAATAAATCAAAACTCCTGTTAAATCAGTGCGGCGTTCTTGAATACGTTCATGTAGATTCTGTGACAACTGGTTACTCAACGCCGAGTTTTGTTGTTGCAATTTATCCAAAATAAATCGAACTGTTGTGTTCGCAGTTATAAGCGTTGATTCTCGCCTACAGAGTGCCTCAACTCCTAATTTAAAAGGCTGCAAGTTAGCAATGAGATCTTTAATTATGAACCACTCATTATCGCTGAATTTAATCTCACATTCAATATCGATTAATGCTTTATCAATACAATTCTTTAAATTGTAGAATCGTTTCAACATATTCAAAAGGCTATTCCAGCGAGTACGGCAGTCTAATATCAATGCTAATTCCTTTTCAGGGCCTTCTTGTTCCTTCCCATATTTTTGTAAGAAGATGTCATTTTTAGTTGGTGACCGCTTGAAAATCTTGACCACTTTCCGTACTTTCTTCAATAGATCTTCATATGTTGTAGAAATCATTTCAAGTGGCAGTGAATTTATGTTTACAGTCAAACCCTGTTCATTGGCGTCCATATCATCGTTATCATCATCAGATTCCGTCGTAAATGCTGCTGCTGCGCATTCTGATATTTCTGATATCAAAGAATTGCTTTTCTTATACAGTGCATCAACCACCACTAGTTGTAAGCCGGGTGTAATACAAAGCTGCTGGGAACAACGCAAAAGTCTGCCAACCTTCACCATCCCACTAGCGCCGTCCGTTGTAATTGCGATAATATCTGTGTCTAAGTCTAGACCAAAACTCGTGAGGCGTTCTTTCACCAAGGTAATGCAATGTTCTGCGGTAGCTGAGCCATTTATACGGACCAAACCCAAATTGTAATGGTTTTCATTCTGGTGGACGTTGATATTTACCTAAGTATCGATGATTCTTTTGTGACGTCCATTCGTCAAATGTGAGTGAAAATCTCTGTTTCCGTTTCTTGAGTCGTTCAAATTCAATAATCATGTCAGCTTTAACTGTGTTATAAAAATTTGTTACGATAGATCGTATTTTTTTTGGTGAATTGGGTAATTTGTGACCGCTTTTATGAAATAAATTCCTTAAATCCGTAGATGTGCAACAGGAACTTAGGGTGAATCCGTCTTTACATACCATCCTAGAGATCATTTTGTCCATGGTGTTTTCTTTGATGAAAAAACTGTCCATTGTTTTGGGTTTCTTCTTTGGTACTATTGGTAAGGATTCTTCTCCAGTGTCATCGTTTCGACAACCGATATCGATATTGTGTTTAGTCTTCAAATGTATTTTCAAGCCTTTGGTAGAACGTTGACTAATTTTAAGTTCATTTGAACACAGAAGACATTTGCCACCTTTGTCATTTTTCTTAAAATAACGCCACAGACCTTTTCCAGGTTGGTTGATAATGTTGATATCGTCATCGCCGTTGCCTTTATTCTCAGTTTCTAAGAAATTAGACTCGGAATTAGACATGATACATCATTCATTTACTCGTTACCTGCAAATAATAAATAAAGTTTTATGTAAGATGTAAGTATAGATTTAGATTCATTCATTTCATTTTTAAACTATTAAAATTGATTCCTCTCCTCAGTCTCATCGATAACCATATCCAAAAATAATTATATTGACAAAAACCACTTTGAGTCATAAGTCATAATGTTTCACGCTCACGCAACATCACGACATTATATAATGCTATTCACGGCACAATCTGCTTTTAAAATCGAATTAAAAAAAATCAAAATTTAGGTACTTACCAACGAAACGCCGGACGTAGAATACGAAAACACTCGTCACCTACAGACTACAGAAAGACGTGCTGACGTGCACAACGCAGAACTATTAATGAACAACTGATACAGCCCGACAGCCGGCCAACCGTTAGCTAGTCGCCGGCGCGGTGCGCTGTGCGAAACGGAACGTCGCGCTTCGCGCTCGTGTTACTCGTGATTTTTCAGCGCCAAGTTTTCATTTGCGGGATCCGCGGATCCGCGGATCCACGCATCGAAGGTGCGGGATCCAGCAGATCAATAAAAGCAGCGGGATCCCGCGGGATTGCGGGATCCCGTTTTGCGGGATTGCAATCCCTGGAGTCTCCAATACACTGTTGGAAATGTAATGTTGGTTTCCACAACACAGGTTATTGTTGATTCTCTGATGTGAAAAATAACTGTTATTTCAGTAAAAATAGCAGCTTAAAAAATATTCAGAGTTGTTAATTCACAATAAAATTAAAAAAAAAATTGTAGACGATAGTATTAATCTATCTTGTATTAAAATTCAACAAGAAAGATATTTTTAAAAACATAAAACTCTGTTGGTCATGCAACATCATCTCTTGAATAGAAATAACTACTATAAATATAATTGAACATTAGGATTTGTAATTTCAAAAACACATTTAAGTGGAACTTTCGATTAGGATAGTTGAAAAGACATTACTCATTGTTGTTATTATCACATCAAACTATTATCGATACCTTCAACAATCAACGAATAATTGAATATTCAATTTCGTAGTTACCTCAACATATATATTGGAATACACAACACTTGAAGTTAATACTGTAAGAAAAATGGCATCACATCTCTCGTTGAATTACTTTCCTCTGTTAGTCATATGACATCAACTTTGGGATAAATGTTTCTACGATGGAAGTCATTGAACATTAGGATTTGCGGATTTATGAAAAGGTTTGAATGGAATTCACAATTAAGATAGTTGAAATCACATCAGTAAAGTTGTTATTGTCACATCAAACTATAACGTATTTGTTCGATAGTTATCGAGTAATTGAATACACAATTTTGTAGTTACTCCAACAGTATATTGTGGAATACACAACACTAAGAGTTGAAACTATATTGGAAAATGACATCACATCTCTCGTTGAATCACTTCTCTCTGTTGGTCATATAACATCAACTTTTGATTAAATGTTTCTACGATGGAAGTCATTGAACATTAGGATTTGCGGATCTATGAAAAGGTTTGAGTGGAATTCACAATTGAAATAGTTGAAATCACGTCAATGAAGTTGCTATTATCACATCAAACTAATAACGTATTTGTTCGATAGTTATCGAGTAGATGAATATACAATATTGTAGTTACTTCAACATTATATTGTGGAATACACAACACTCAGAGTTTATACCTAATATAGGTATGTAATGAAAAATGACATCACATATCTCGTTGAATTATTTGACTCTGTTGGTGAAATAACATCAAATTTTGAATAAATATTTCTATAGGATGAAAGTCATTGAAAAGGTTTGGGTGGAATTCACAATTATTAGGATAGTTGAAATAACATCAGTAAAGTTGTTATTAATACATCAAACTACCTATAATTGATTTTTACTGCAGTTGTTTCATCATTCTATGTAGTGGAATACCTACACAACAGTTCAACAGTTGTGTTGTGATAATGGAATAGGGGAGGAGGGGTCTAGTTGTCTCAAGTACTTGTTGTCACAAACCCTCAAACGCCATCTACCACTTACTTTTTCAATCAACCGCGTGCACAACATCGAAGCTCTGGATTTCATATGCTGTTATAGGAAACGCTAGTGTATTTGTGATTATTGTGGAGAAGTTAAAGGAATTCACGTGAAAAAAGTATATGTAAGTAAATATAAACA